ATATTAATTACTGTAGCTACACTAATTAGTTATACTAATTAAGCAATGACGAAGCCTGCATCCATAGTAAACTAGGATCTCTAACGCTTTTCTCGTCATAAAATAACCTATGATCTGCCTTTCTATATGAAAATTCTAAAACTTCTTGATCATTTTTAACACTATAGATTTCAAATATAGGAAACGCAAGAGTACCATAAAGGTCAAAAGGTTGTGGTGAAAGTGGATTATCAAGTAATCCTAACTCGAACAAATCTTTAAATAATGCGTAACTATTGAAAGCTTCCCCACCAGCAAATGATGAAAATGATAAAGGTGTATCTGCAAATCCTCCAACTGCTATGGTGGCAACACCTTGTAATTCTGCTAAATGTTGTGCTATTATTGCACATGATGATCCACAAATACCATTTGTTAAAATAATTATATTTTTTGATGTCCATGGATATTTTGGCGGGCTGTTCCCAAGGACTTGTTGGATGATTGCTCTATTTTCAGCATGGATGAATTTGTTAGTATATCTTACTTGAGTCTCTCGCGTGTATACATTGTTCCCTATAAAATCTTGGGAAGTGTTGAATACTTGTTCTGTAGAAAATGATGCATATTGTTGAGCCTCAAAAATGCTATCAGATATTTGTCCTGTAGTCGCTGTTTGGATTGCTAATGTGGAAAAGTTGGTGACTTTGGCGTCACTTGGGAAAGAAGGATTGGTATTTGGGAACAATAAAATATTCACAAATTCAGCAACGGATATTAGACCACCGCTATTATCGGTAAGATCAAGAACAATCTAAAGAAAGAAAATCAAGAATGAATAATTAAAAATGAATGTTTTTAGTAAAAAATTGTTTATTATAATACCTTTTTTGCACCCATCTCATTAAGTTTATTGAAACCTTGTAATATGGTTATCATCTGTTCTTGTTCATCAACAGTAGGACTGAGAGTGGAAATCATTGCAATTCCTGTCTGATTCAGCATGTAGAAACGAGAACTCGTGCCATTAAAAACCATTTGTGCATTTGATATCATGCTATCATAAGTTTTACTGTAGTCGCCAAAAGTATTAAGTGGATTAATTGGAGCGGGTGTTGCCGTAGCCGCGCAAAAATTGTTCCAATAAGAGTTTGAGTCTGTAAAATTATCATAAAAGTCGGATGTTATTTTCCAGGATCGCTCGATTGTTAAAGTGGATCCATTGCAAGTTAGAACGTATGAGATACTAGGTTTTTCAGGTAATATACGACTTTTGGTAAATTGCTGGGTTAATGGTGATACTCTGATGTTATTATTACTAAGACTAAGAGAAGATATCACCGAATTAAACCGTACGCCAAGATCTTTAGATGTAAAAGTCCTTTCATTTGCGAATTCGATTAAAACTTCCATGGCTGGGCGAGAATTAATTGTTACTACTTCGCAATCAATTAAATTGCTGTCAGTTACATCATTGAATATTTTGATTGCCTAAAGTATAAAAAATTTATACAATTACTATTAATGTTAATAATCTAGTGATCAAAGAATTTCAAAAAGTGCTTGCCTGTTTCCCGTCGGGTTTGATAATAGAATATAAAGATAGTCCTTGGTCAAATGTGAATATTTGATTATAACAGTTAGAGAAAAAAAAAAGGTGCCCATCTTTCAATTGAAATAACAATAATTGTAGTTCTTTCTTTTGAAAACAATCAAAAAAAAAAAAAAGCCGAAACATTCAGTTAAATTTTATCGTTAATTTTTTTTTCCAAAATAATATTTACATACAATGAATTGAAAGTCCGTGCTATATTGATTATTAAGTAATGCGTCAAGCTTGCTTATTATGTCAGTAGGTTGAAATGTGAAGCCTGGCTGTGGTGGTTCTTTAGCTTGATCTAGAAATGGGTAGAAATTTTCCAAGATACCCTTAATAGTACTAATCGTCTAATAATAAATAATAAATACGAGTTCATTCAACCGTTAAAACCTGGTAATCATATTATCATATAAATTATATGCCTTATTCGCTCGCGTAGCATTAAATTTAAAAGTTTTAAAGCAAGTTTCCAAATCATAATAATCAGTGTAATAAGTATCACTGCTATTTTTTCCCTTCAGGTAACTCTCGTGAATTTTTGCACATGCATCGACAGAAGCATCAGCTTCAACGGAAACATTAGTTTCTATATTAGATAATGTATTTTGTATTATAAATCTTTTAAATTCGCGTCTAGAATAGTGATCAGCTCTGTCTAACCAAAAATATTGAATCAAATTTAATGATAATAAGAAAATAATCAATAATAGAAACCCGCAAAGCTCAACCTTGGATTTCATTATTGTTATGGTTGCTTGAAAAAATACATAGATCAATATTATTTCTATATATACACATATACATGTATATTTTATCGCAGATCCAACTTTGACACAGCCAAAAAACTTTAAAGATCGCACAACAATTAAAGCCTCATCTCGAATTTATTCCTTATAATATATATATATATATATAGTCAACTATCGATATAACAGAAACCCTTACGCCGGATCCACCTGTTTAACGGATTAAGTTCAAAGCGAAGTCGAAAATTAGTAGATCACGTGGTAAATTGTGTTGATCATTGGTAATAAAATAATTTTCGGCCGGTACATTATTTTGGTATAATACATGTATATTGTACCGGCCGAAACTTTTAATATCGAAAACTACATTTTTATTACCGAAAAATAATTCTCGAGATTTGCCGATGATCATAAAAATTTTCAAAACAGCTGTAATAGGAATTTAAACTGGCTATAACGGATTCAATAGTAAAAAGACCATATTATGTATAACGGACATTTTTGCCGGTCCATTTGCTAATCTTATCGTTTTCATAAATTCTGGGACAACTGAAAAAAATTTAATCGGTCGAATTCGATACAGCTGTTCTGGAAAATCTTGCAAAAATTGACCGACCGAATATTTGCCGATTCGATAAGTTTTGATTCAGCAGTGATAAACTTTTGTCAATAGAAACCAAGTAAATTGTTTAATTTTTTTTTAAATATAAATCAAACTTGATAAAAATTTTTTTATAACAATATAGGATAAAATAAAAAAAATTTTATCAAGTTTGGGTTTAATAGTTGTTTAAATATTTTAATTAAGGAATTAT